TCCTTTCTCGCACGAACCAAAGCTCGTTGAAAGCGACGATAGGCTTCCCGAACCTGATGCGCCCATTGAGAAAAGGGAGTACCGGGTGTCCGCCGCAAACGGATCAGAAGATCTTCTAAGCGAGCTCCGGCATCTGGTACAGGTGCTCGGCATAGGCGATCACGAAGATGAGTGAGGAGAAACTTCGCTCCATGTTGCACTTGCAGACGTCCATGGTCAATCTCGAAGCAAGCTTCCCAGGCTCTGTCCGTCAACCGACTCACCAACTCGGGACCCAACAGGTATCTCTTCTCCAGAGCCGTCTTCTCGTATTGAAGTCTCACCTTCCGCACGCAATCTGGCCATTGATGAGCATCTCCGTTCCACGGAGACGCAGAAATCCTTGGCTGTGACCGCCGTCATGGGGCACACCAACTTCCAACAAACCAGAGCGAAGGCACCGAAGGAGAAGACCAACAGGATGCCGTAGAGCAAGATAAGGAAACGAACCCACCGAAGGCGAAGTCCACCAAGAAGCCCAAATGCCAGACCAAGGAAGCCACCGAAGTGAACCGGTCCGAAGTAGGCCTTGCGCTGTGGTGCGTATGGGGCTCACCAACTCTGTCTTTCCACCCGGGCCACCTCTGCGACCCTCCTCCAAGCCGGTCTCAACCGGCTCCGCTACCAATTTCGGTAGCCGGGGAACCCTCAAGCTCCCGAAGCGCGCTCACGCACTTTCACACACACGTCGCCATGCTCTGCATGAAAAGCGAATATTGGCTGAAGGGATCCCTTTGGACCGAAATGCCATCCACCGGATATTCACACATGTCCAAACCACACAAGCTCATGCTCCTTAGAAACAGTCACACGTATGGATGCGAGAGACATCGGAGGCTGATCCTAAATTCATTCACAACTCCACTCCACTCCACTCCACTCCAACTCCACTCCAACCCCATTTCAACTCCACTCCACTCCAACTCCGACTTTGTTAAATTTCATTACAACTCCACTCCGACTCCACTCAAACTCCATGCCAACTCCACCCCCACTCCAACTCCACTCCAGATCCACTCAAACTCCACTCCAACTCCAACTCCACTCCACCCCCACTCCAACTCCACTCCAACTCCACTCAAACTCCACTCCAACTGCACTCCCACTCCAACTCCACCCCACCCCCACTCCAACTCCACTCCACCCACTCCAACTATTGTATTTTAACTCCACCCCAACTCGATTTCAACTCCACTCCAACCCCACTCCAACCCAACTCCACTCCAACTCCACTCCAACTCCACTCCAACTCCCCAACTCCACTCCAACCCTACGCCAACTCCACTCCACTCCAACTCCACTTCAATTCCACTCCAACTCCATTACAACTCCTCTCCAACTCCACTCCCAACTCAACTCCAACTTCACTCCACCCCAACTTCACTCCAACTCCACTCCACTCCACTCCACTCCAACTCCACTCCAACCCCATTTCAACTCCACTCCACTCCAACTCCAACTTCTTCAAATTTCATTACAACTCCACTCCGACTCCACTCAAACTCCATGCCAACTCCACCCCCAACTCCACTCCAACTCCACCCCCACTCCAACTCCACTCCAGATCCACTCAAACTCCCCTCCAACTGCACTCCCACTCCAACTCCACTCCACCCCCTCTCCAACTCCCCTCCACCCACTCCAACTATTTTATTTTACTCCACCCCAACCCACTCCAACCCAACTCCACTCCAACTCCACTCCAACTCCAACTTCACTCCACCCCAACTCCAACTCCACTCCTCTCCAACGCCACTTCAACTTCGCTCAAACTCAACTCCAACTCCAACTCCACTCCAGCTCCACTCAAACTCCACTCCAACTCCAACTCTATCTCCAACTCCACTCCAGCTCCACTCAAACTCCACTAAGACTCACACTCCACTCCACCCCCACTCCAACTCCACACCAACTCCAACTCCACTCCTCTCCAACGCCACTTCAACGTCGCTCAAACTCAACTCCAACTCAAACTCCACTCCAGCTCCACTCAAACTCCACTCCAACTTCAACTCCATTTCAACTCCACTCCAACTCCACTCCAACCCCACGCCAACTCCACTCCACTCCAACTCCACTCCAACTCCACCCCCAACTCCACTCCAACTCCACCCCCACTCCAACTCCACTCCAGTCCAATCAAACTCCACTCCAACTCCAACTCCACTCCACCCCCACTCCAACTCCAGTCAAACTGCACTCCAACTCCAACTCCACTCCACCCCCCACTTCAACTCCACTCCACCCCCACTCCAACTAGTTGTTTTTAAACTCCACCCCAACTCCATTTCAACTCCACTCCAACTCCACTCCAACTAGTTGTTTTTAAACTCCACCCCAACTCCATTTCAACTCCACTCCAACTCCACTCCAACCCTACTCCAACCCAACTCCACTCCAACTCCACTCCAACTCCACTCCAACTCCAACCCAACTCCACTCCAACTCCCCAACTCCACTCCAATCCTACTTTAACTCCACTCCAACTCCGCTCCAACTCCAACTTCACTCCACCCCAACTCCAACTCCACACCTCTCCAACGCCACTTCAACTTCGCTCAAACTCAACTCCAACTCCAACTCCACTCCAGCTCCACTCAAACTCCACTCCAACTCCAACGCTATTCCACCCCCACTCCAAATCCACTCTCCAACTCCGCTCCAACTCCAACTCCACCCCACTCCAACTCCAACTCCACTCCAAATCCAACTCCACTCCAACTCCACTCCAACTCCACTCCAACTCCACCCCCACTCCAACTCCACTCCAGCTCCACTCAAACTCCAACTCCAACTCCAGTCCACCCCCACTCCAACTCCACTCCACTCCAACTCCAACTCCACTCCACTCCAACTCCACCCCAACTCCACTCCAACCCCACTCCAACTCCACTCCAACTCCACTCCAACCCCACTCCAACTCCACTCAAACTCCACTCCAACTTCACTCGAACTCCACTCCAACTCCACTGCAACTCCACTCCAGCTCCACTCCTCTCCAGCTCCACTCCAACTCCAACTCCACTCCACCCCACTGCAACTCCGCTCCAACTCCAACTCCACCCCCACTCCAACTCCAACTCCACTCCAACTCCACCCCAACTCTACTACCACTACTACTACTACTACTACTACTACGACTACTACTACTACGACTACTACTACTACTACTACTACGACTACTACTACTACTACTACTACTACTACTGCTAAGCGACGTGCCCCCTTTTCGGTGGTCAAAAGGGGTGGCAGAATTTGGCGGCAGATCCCTCAAAAGGGGCGCAGCCAAATCTGCCACCCCTTTCTGCCACCCCTTTTGACCACCAAAACGGGCGAGCGTCCAAACCTGCCACCCCTTTCTGCCACCCCTTTCGAAATTGGCCCGCAGGATGGCTTGAACCATGCTATTTCCAAAATTGCCATTTCCTAACCATAAGCATTACGGGAGCCAGTCAAGATATAATATCATGCAATTCAACCACCTTGTCCCATATGTCTGCGAATATATCGCAGTCTGAGTGGACCGCACAAATCTCTCTTTAAGGTAGTGATACAAAAAACAACCAGTCTGCCCCCACCTGTATTTGTCAAACATCAGCACCCAACACTCGAGCTATGCTGCCCAGTCCCAGCAAAGCACTTTCCTCACACCAATCAGAGTGCTCCGGCTGGCATTCACACCTCGTTTGCCTAGCGCAGCGTGAGGCATCTTGCAGTGTGCGACCCTTCCCCAATGGTCATGTGAAACGAAGCTGTGGTTCCCAAGTGCACAGTGGGTGCTTCTCTCAAAAGCGCGCAAGCCTGCAAAGCACACAGGATTCTCTCATGGCCCGGATTTATTGAGATGAATTGCAACACGCATCTGCCTTGCGTATCCAGCCATGCGTGACAAAACTGGACTAAACCTGCGTGGCAATTGTTCTGCACACGCCTTCTGCAGCACGTCCTTCACTTCCTTCATCTCAGCCTAACGCATTGGGAGGGAAGCGAAGACATGCACTCAACGGCCGCCCATGGCAAACATATATGTCTTTGTTCGGCTATCCTTTTTCGCGGTGCTTTCAACACAACGAAGTTGACGCACCCCTTGCAATTCCAGCACGTGCGAATTCTCGTTTCGATTTGTCCCGCCTCGGCGCTGCCAACGATTTCCCGTATCGCGTCCCGGTCTTGCAGCACGCCTAGCAAACTGGCACCGACCAGCACATCCGAGGGTCCTTTCCATAGAAAACCATGTGGCACGTAGCAAGGCCAATTGCGCAAGTCAGACGTTGTCATGTTTGAGGCTTGAGGCACAAATGTTGATGTTCTGGCTTCAGTTTGGGTTAGACCAGGAGCCTTTACCCCACAGAAACCAGGAGCCTTTACCCCACAGAAGCTCCACTTTCACGCAACTGTAGCTGTCCCTTGCAGCAAGTCTCAACTTGAATGTTCTGCCACTACAGGCTTTCCAATTAAAAGCTCTACGCTGCTGACGTTTGCTGCCTGGAGGGCAACGCTTGAACTCCTGGGTAGAAAGACAGCTTGTTTAAAGCTTTGTCAACGCTAGATGTCGGCAACCATTCTGGGTAGGAAGAACGGGCTCGAACGAATTCGAAACAAAAGAGAGTTAGCAAGCATACTTGGGCTGAAGAAAGCCACAACTTGAAAAACAATCCTGATAAAGCCGTGGAAATTTGGGGATCCAACAAAAACATCCATGAAAGGTTCCATACGTTTAGGGCCATGGCTGACATGTCTTTTTAGCTTGGGGCTGCCGCTTTTCCTTTCAATGTCGAGTGGAACGAAACGGATGCGAAATGCGCGGCAGACCGATGATTTTCCACTATGATCTGGTCTCAAAGCATTTCCGACACGTGTACGGTGCAAAGTGAGCTAAGCACCCAAAGAGTCCAAATGCAAACAGCCAAGAGCATAGTGCTAACATGTGCTTGTTGCATGCCGTGTGATTGGAAATCCACATTTTCTTGATTGCTTGGGAGATGGGGGAAATGCCAATTGGCTCACCCCAAACCCCGTCATATGACGTGGTCCTTTCTTCTAAAAAGACATCCTTCGCCGCTCCTATGCAGGATCTCCCACCACGAAATCAATGGATTTGCAACGTCGCCAAACTCGACCTTCAACTCTCTGATTGCCAGTGCAAATTTCCCATTTTGAAAGCGAACGAGAGCTGAGTCTTGAGGCACCTCTCTTGGAGAGGCCGAATTGCAGCGCTTGGCGCCAGAGGCCGAAACGTAGGCGCCAGAGGGCCGCAAACTCGGCGATCGAGGCCGCTGGCCCGAAATAAACTCAACGGGAACCTGTGCCCGCGAGCGTGAAACTGAACGCATTGTGCTTAGCTTATGCAAAATACGCAAAATACAAAAGAAAAATACAAAAGAAGGCAAGGTGCATGACCTTTCCGACAAACGAACTGAGCTCAGCTCAAGTCTGGTACAACATCTGCCTGTGTGGGACGGCGTGGCTTTTTCGAGCCAAGCCAGGCCCACTGCGTGAAGCCTCGGGCACCCAAGCTAGAACTCAACAGCAGCTGTCTAGCTTGGCAACAGCAGGGACATGCGAGCTTGCTCCTGCAAGCAAGCAAGCAAGCAAGCAAGCAGGCAGGCAGGCAGGCAGGCTTTCCAGCAAGCGAAGCATGCGAACCCCACTTGCCCGTGGACTTCAAGAGGCAGGTTTTGTCTGGCAAGCTCTATCACGGCTCGGAAAGTACACACACGCAAGTAATGCGGAGCTGGGCCTGCGAGGGGTGGGATGGCCAAGTCAAGTCTTGCCGAAAACTTTCCCCATGACGACTTTCCAAGTCCCCTTGAATCTCTGAGATTGCACTTAGGCAATGAGAATTACAATCAGCTCAGGGACACGTTTGGTCATGCTGCGGCTGCTCCGTTTGCCCAATCATAAAATTGGGCGTTTGGGTTCCATTCGCAAAGTCCTTCCAAGCCCTCTCGTCCTCCATTGTTGGAAGGATGTGATTGCTTTGCGTTTGGGCAAGGGACTCCGTGACCTCGGGCACAGACCAGCCGTCACCAAACCAACATTACTTTCGCGAAAGATGGTCGAGCTTGCGAGGGGCATCCGCGTCCATCGTTACCCGGATCGGTTGGCTCCCTCTGGACTGCAGCTGAGCGTCGGCGCCAGGAATGGAGCATTCCAAGAGCAAGCTCTTGAGGTCCGGCTGGAAAATCCTCAAGACTCGCATCCTGGCTAGTGTCCTGAGAGGCGCTCCAATGTTTTTGTTGCTCCTCAAAACCAGTCACGCCATTTGCTTCTCCTCCAGGAATCAAAGTGAATTCAGATGACCCCTTGAGTAGCACCATGTGGGTAACAAAATGTTCAGCGACATCAGTCGCCCCGGGCACTTTGAACTCCCATTTCAGAGAACGTGTCGCCAAAAGAATGCTATCAAGAGACCCGCTGACCCCAGGCTACATCATTCTCTGTGTCACTTTACGCGTTGAAAATGCACGCTTAGTTTACCGGCAGTGACAACCGTTTTGATAAATGCTAAGGGGCTGATTTAATCTTACGATAGACATTGTGTGCACTCCCGCACCTCTCGGGAGCTCGGGCTTGTTTGCCCTTCGGCTCAACTCCGTTCTGGGCACAACTTTTCTGTGCCAATGAGCACAAACTCCCAACTTAGTTCTGCCGCCGGTCCTTGTGAAACTACAGGAGGCCTAGCGTTTTTTTTCGTGTCAACAGGCATTGTTCACAGCGCAGGACTGAGAAACTACGCTTTTGAGCCAATTTGCCAACACGGATTTTCTGAACCTTTCTGAAGCATGTCGGCACGGATTTTTCCCCAACAGCAGAAAGCTTTGGGGTCTCAGCCAAGACAGGCTCCGGGGTGGTCACGCCTAGAGGGAACGTAGGGACACCTACATGTATTTGTGACAATTGTTGCCTCGCAGCTCCGACGAGAAGTTTGACTTGTTTCGAGGGTCGCAAAGGCCACGACCGTGATGACGAGAACACCCTCCATGCCAGGTGGACATAAATCAGCAAAGGGTCCCAACTAGTCAACATCCACGGGGCGGCCCTGAGACAAGGTTCCGCGAGGGTTTCACCAGGGTTCCACGATGGTTTTCTGCGGGGTGATGCGAGCATTAAAAAGAGCACCGCATGCTTATTTTGACTTCTGACACTGCAACCACAACGCCTTTTGTTTCTGAACCTGGGCTTGGAACAGAAATCAGCAGTTGGGTTTCTGTGTTTGGTTTTTGGCACGGTCGGACCGAGCCCGCTGCGAAAAAATGACGCCCTCTGTCAGCGCCGTCAATGTGCAAATTTTGATATTTGTCGAAGTGCGCGTGCGACCCTCGTGTGGCCGATGTGGAATTCTGCTACTTTGGATTTGCGCGCGCGGCCCTCTGCGCGGATCGGCGCGGTCGATGTGCAAAAGCTGAGGACTATTGCAACTTCTTTGCGTTCGGGTCTCGGCCCTCTGCGGGGATCGGCGTGATCGATGTGCAAAAACTGTGGTCTCTGTATTTGCTGCTTTCTGACTTCCACCGGCATTTTCTATTTTTGTGCTCGCGGATGAGTGTGGTCTCGAAGTGATGCGGTATGTGCAGAAACCGTCGAAGCATTCCAGAAAAGGACGTACACGTACTCGGGCATGCTTGCGCAGAGCAACCTGTGCAAAGCATTTGCACAGAGCACGGGCACACTTGCGCAAGAACATCTGCACGAGAGATCACAGTGCCCTCGGCGGCCTTCATATCACGCAAGAAAACAAAGACCGCGTTTGACATCATTCGCCGTCGCCATATGGGTGTGGGTCAATATTCTGGTGTGGAACGTTCCGCGGTGACGCGGACGTCTGGAACGAGTCAGTTACGTAAGGTTGGTTGTTCCTGTGTGGAGTCCTCAAGCACACGTTCAATGTGTAAGATGGATAGATGGATGGATGAATGGATGGGTAGATGGATGGATGAAGCGACCAGCGGCGCGCGGCGTGGCGGGCCGCGTAAGAAGCGCAGCTACTTACATGGGGCATGTGTGTGTGTGTGTGCATGTGGACTTGGTGGCAAATTTCTCTGCTGCGTCTGGAACACGTCTGGAACGGGTCTGGAACGGGGTCTGGAACAGTTACGCGAGTGTTGCGCTTGGGAATGCTAGCAAGCAGCATGTAATCATGGTCGTTTCAACAATGTGACGACCGAGAGCGGTATCGAACCGTTGCCGTATCGTATCGAACAGATTGCGGCGGGGTTGACCCTTAACATTGACAGGCCGTTCCAACACCACATCTGTCAACAGGACCGTTGCCCAATTCCATCCAAGTCCCAATGATTACAAGCCACGCAGCCCTAACCACCAAAGCTCGACAAGCAAAACCCATCGTTAGCACCTCAGGCTTCTCTCGAACACCAGCTTTAACCCGTATATAGTATTTGGCAAAACAAGGGGGAGTCAATAACCTACCAAATCACCTGACCGTCTGAATCAATACTCTAAACTAGACGTAAATATATAAACAAGGTCTGGAACGGAAGGTCTGGATCAAGTTCCTAGGCAAGGTCTGGAACGGAGGTCTGGAACGGAGGTCTGGATCGCATGTGGGTTCCGGACCCTGTTCCGGACCTTATAAATTGACTCGCAGCCATATGTTGTGCTTTCTGGCGACGTGTTCGTCTCGTCTTTTGCAGTTGTTGAGCTGAAAAGCAGTGCAACAAATGAGTCATCCGCACAACAAGGGCTAACAGTATCAAGCTACGTCAGTTTGACCGTTACTACGTGCAAAGGATGTTCAGCGTTGGGGTTGCAACGAAAGGAGCCCTACAAGTGCAACTCTCTCAGGATACTTTGAATGGCGATCTTATAACTGAACAAAACGCCTTGAACATGTGGCGACCAAAACGCCTTTTCTCAGAAGGATCCAGGCCACTGAAAGGGGATGAGGTTCTTGAGGGAGTTGTTTCGGTGGGGGTTGGGCGGGGTGCGCGCTCGAGCTGATTTACAGATTTTTGGCCGAGCACAGCGGTGAGTTTTGGATGCTGTTTGGGCCGCTGCGTGGCAGCTCCACGCTCGCTTTCCTCGTGTACTTCGCAGGTTCCTGGTGGGTGTTTTACGGTGTCTCGCCATCCAACGCGGCCATTTTTGGCCGCTGTGGGCTGGATGGAACAGATTCGACGGGCGCGTGAAGCCGCTGGTTTGGGTTGTTGCTCGTATCTGATTCAATGCTTCGACGGTGCAGTCGGTTTGCTCTGACTTGTGTCAAGCTGGCAGCGTACGGCAAGGGGCTGCAAGCCAAAGCAAGGCAAGGCAAGCAAAAGCTAGGCAAAGCAAGGGACAGCAAGGAAAAGCAAGGGAAAGCAAGGAAAAGCAAGAAAAGGGGAAACAAGGGTAAAGCAATCGAAAGCAAGGGAAAGCAGAGCAAAGCAAGGGAAGGCAAGGCGCCCATGACGAGTATCGTGGCAGGCGCTTTCCGTTATTTGCCGGACTGGTTTGCATACCCCAAGCCACCGAACCAGCCCCAAACGGAACGCGCGAGCGCGCGCCTCCACGTGGTAGTGCCAAAGATCACTTAGGACGTCCGTGCCGTTCAGCGCAGTGGAAATGTTCCTGAAAGATGCCCCTAAGCCCTTCTTCCGCTGCTCCCACACCCTAGGCCAACATAAATCCTAAAAAAGGTCATCAAACCCTAAACAGTGTTGGTAGGCTCAACATAAACTGTAAAAGGTGTCTGGAGGCCGTAGCAAAACCCGGAAAGATGTCTGGAGGCCAACAGAAACCCGAAACACAACATAAACCCTGAGACAGTTGGTGGGGCCAGCTTTAACCCTGAAAGGTGTTGGGGGGCCAACAAAAAGCCTAAAAGGTCGGGAGGGCAACATAAACCCTTAAAAGCGTTTGTGGGCCCAACATAAACCTCAAAGCGTGTTGGGGGGCCAACATAAACCCTAAAACTGTGTTGGTGGGGGGCCAGCAAGTGCCCTAAACAGTGTTGGCGGTGGGTGAACCTCGGGGTTGGCGCCAACATGTTTGGGGTGCAAATCAACTAACGAGCTTTCTCAGTGGGTCCTCTCCCTAAGCAACAAAGCCAGCACCTTTTGAAGGTTCAATATGCGGGTTGGCAATGACAAGACCCCTGCAGCAAAATCATGTGCAGAGCTCAAACAGCCATGCTCAACAACAGCTTGCAACGTGTCTCAAAACTGGGGGTCCCTTTCGGAAGACAGCCTCGGAGTCCAATGTAAAAAGAGCAGCCTCGCACGAGATTCTGCACTTCGAGATTCTGGGCTAAGTAGATGGCCTGCTCGTGGACCTCCTGCATCTCAGCAACACAGCTACAGAAGGCCTCCGCATCGATGACTACCAGTCCTTGAGAGTGCATTGCACGTTTGCAAGCCCAAGTTCCAAATGAAGAAATGGAGATTCCGAGATTCCTCTACAATGGTTTCCACAGACCCTCAGAATGCCCGAAACTGCTCACTCAACTGATTTCCAAGTTGTGCGCAAAGGTTTGAATGCGTTTGCAACTGTTGGATTTCCCCAGAGTTTCAAAAGGTTCAAGGCGTTTCCAGGTTAACGCTGTTTCCGGCCAACACAGAACTGCAAGCAAAGGTGTGAAAGCTTCCCACTGTATAGTCCACCAAAAACCTGAGATCTTGATTTTCCTTCTTCAGCTCAGCTTCGGCTCATGCCTTTGGAGATGAGGTCGCCCACATAAGCCCACGGTACCCAGAGGCTTACCTCCGCCACCAGCTCCTCCCCGGCCACCGGCTGCTTTTTCGATCCTTGGACGTACCTGAGACGAAACAGCGGCAATAAACAAACTCCGCAGCATCTGGGAAGTCGTGATTTTGTACATGCTTTAGGTGGTAAGCCAACGGTAAAACTCGTACCAATCAGTGACTCACTGATGTAGGCCACTGGGTCTGCGGTTTTGTTGTGGAGGCCTTTAGAGCTTCTATGGGGAAGTGTTTTTTTGAGGTCGGGGAAATCCACCGCCGAGCCTACCTTGGGGGCTGCTGAGGAATTCTCAAAGGACCGGCCAATGGCTGAGTAGGCGCCTTCCGAAGTTAAAAGAATGAAACAAAACAAATACCAAACAAAGGACAAAACATGGTGAGTCCTGTGGAAAAGCTAGCTGGTTTCCCCATGTCTCTCAATGGACCGTGGACTTACGCGAAAACTCAACACCGGGAAGCATCGAATGCATGGGTTTGTCTCAAAAGGATGGTCCCCCAACACGTGTCAGAAGCTTGCTCTCGGCTCCTTTCAAACCAACCCAAAGAAGCCCCCCCAACAAAACAAGACACACCCATCTGCGTACGGTATGATTTGTCTGCGCAATCATGATACTGCGCACACTCCAAACAAGAAATGCTCCAGCATGAAACCTTCAGCAAGGGAGCTCGCAACCCCTCTTGTGAAGTCGCAATTTGCCAGAACTTAATTTGGGACGCCTTGCTCTTCGATGGACAATGTTTACATGGGGATTGACACACTTCTACTAACTGTGTGAGTGTGATCAGATTCTCTTTCTCTGCAAATTCAGATTGGAGTTCAGGTGGCTCATTTTAAACTAGGTTGAAAGGGATGATTTACAAGCACTGAACCAAACAGCTGCGCCTTGGCATCGAACAACTGTAGCTCAACATCTGCGGATGTAGGTTGGGCTTTAAACGAGGGTGCCGTATGTGCTGCTGGCAAACGCTGCCAATGTCGGCAAAGGAAGCACGGCAACGGGCGACATTCCTTGAAACGGAAACAAACACAATCTCGCCGCCGTTCAAAAAGTACAAATTGCCTCTGTAATGACCAGTCAACGATTGATGCTAAGTCCTCCTTCTAGCACGAGTCCCCGACACCTTGCCAGCCTGCCTGCAATTGTTTCCGCGTTCCAACAAGCCAAGCCTCCATGCCAAAACATGTGAGCGCGTGCCTGCGTCCGTGCGTGAAGCATGGAATGCGCTAATGCTGACCCAGGATTAATAAACCCCCCTATTAAAGCGCCTGGTTTTCCTTGAAAATCCCTCGCCAATACTCGTTTTAATTGAAACCCAGGAAGCTGCCCTGGCACCCCCACAATAACAACAATTTTCCCCCGAAACCCCCCCCCCCCTAGTAAAGCTCCCCTCCCCCAACCCCCCCGCTACATCATGCGTTTTTAATCTAATTTTAACTTGCCCAACTTTTGCACATGCAACAGCAGCACCCCCCCATTAGTAAAGCCAGCACCCCCCTGTTAATCTACCATGTTTGGTGCCCTGCCTTTGCACCCCCCCATTAGTAAAGCCAGCACCCCCTATTAATCTACCATGTTTGATGCCCTGCTTTTACACACCAGCTCCTTTTTTACTTGCAACAGCAGCACCCCCCCATTAGTAAAGCCAGCACCCCCCTATTAATCTACCATGGTCGATGCCCTGCTTTTGCACCGCCCCATTAGTAAAGCCAGCACCCCCCTATTAATCTACCATGTTTGATGCCCTGCTTTTGCACACCAGCTCCTTTTTTACTTGCAACAGCAGCACCCCCCCATTAGTAAAGCCAGCGCCACCCTATTAATCTAGCATGGTCGATGCCCTGCTTTTGCACACCTGACCTTCCCCTTCCCACAAGGTTCCCTCACCTGACCTTCCCACAAGGTTCCCTAACCTGACCTTCCCACAAGGTTCCCCTTCCCACTATTGGGGGGGGGCCCTCAAAAAAATGACAGACCTGACCTTGTGACCTTGGGGAGGTTAATCCGGGGTCTGCATTACAGTGACAACAACCACTACGCTCTCAGTGCCCCTTGAAGCCCGGCTGCTGATGACCATCTTCGACTGTGAAGTAACCTTGGCTTCAAGCCAAGACATGATCTTTTAGAGACCTTCAGCAAAACGGAGCTTGCGCCGGTTGCATTACAGCTATGGCGCAGGTGCGTGCGCCCCGTCGGCAGAACGGCACGTGCCTTCGAGCTCTTGCTGATGGCCCTTTCCATCCGGATGCAGTCAGGCAGCAACTCTGGGCAACCGTACCGTGGTTGAAGATCAGGTCATTCTGTGCGACTTGCACGGTAATCAAGGCTTTCACCGCCAGTTTCTGCGCCACCTGGCCCAATCCAGCTTGGTTGCTGGGTTGGTCTTCAAGCCCCCTGATATTCAAGCTTCAGTGATTCGCCTGATTCACTAGCTTCTTTTTGATCAATCGCGAATTGGTTCCAACGACTTCCAAACAGAACCCCACCTAAAGGAAACTCATGTTCCATGGCCCAAACAAAAACAAAACGGAGGCGAGGGAATCCTGAATGACTTGGGTCTGCCGTAAGCCCACCCACACCAAACATAGCGTACGGACTCTCCAGACTGATGCCCTATGCCACGCACAGGAAAGTCAAAACCAGGGGCTTGCCAAATCAAAGCGGCATTGGCAAGTTTGCCAATGGCAATCGTCACGCTTTATTCGTGCGTCAGCTCGGAATTGTCCGACCCTTTTGCCTGAAATACAGGGATGCAGCGATGCACTCTCCAATTGATCCAATCTCTGCAAGGTGCGGTCTCGGCTTGATAATGCGTCTCGTCGCTTGCCAGGAGTTTCATGAGCAGGGCCAGGGAATGCAGACACGTCTTGTATCGCGTGAACCTGGGAAATCCCACTGATGGAACATGATGGAACATGCAAATCCCCCGAAACAAAACATGGACAAAGCTGATGTGTGAGAAAGCAGGTACCATCATGCACCAATCCGGCAATCCATGCATGTCAATTCGGAACCCACACGCTCAGAACAAACGCGCGAAGAGAATGAGTTGAGCTTTTGCACTTCGGCCGCCCACAGCCACATTCAGCGAACCAGTCCCCGCAAACAAGACTTCGGTTTTGCAAGGCTTCCGGCGCAAGGTGTCATCTTTCGAACAGGTGCTTACGTTGAATGCTACATGGTTGAACGGGTGTCTCCACCTCGTTCTCCAACCATGCGCCCGATTGAATTCCTTGACATCGTTTTTCCAACGCCCGGTCTTTGCTGTAGCCTTCTGAAAATTGTTGGCAGTCGCTCATCTACATGGGGATTTACGCCACCAAACGTTGAAGCACCAGGGGCTGAAGCTCGGCATTTAAGGACTTGGACAGCAAGGCGAAAATAGCCACCTGGACAGGTGCCGAAGCGAAACCACTTGTTTTAGGAGAACATCTGCCGAGTCGTAGCAAGGAATCAGCAAAAATGGCCCCAGACCCTGTTCTTGCGAATGCGCCTTTGGTTTCTCATGTTTCGTAAACCTACGCACCTGAAGTAAAGAACCGCCCGGGCCAGAATGCTCTCGCTACAACAATGGGAACTCTACGTTTTGATTGCTTGATCCCATCTTGAGCGCCCAACCAGGGACTTAAGGGGGTGGACTAGGTCAAAAGAGTATGTCTTGTCAGGCTTGGGAAACGTGTGCAACTCCGCGTCCCCGCAACCCAAAGCCACCCGCCCGCGCCAGGCCCCTCTGGGCAAGACAGCGCTCACGATGTTGGATAGCTCGCGCGGGATGATCTCCATGCCAGTGTCCGCCATTCGCTCAAGTTTGTCACAAGCCTCCACCAAAGAACCTCCTGTTGAATTTGACTGCGTTCCTCTCTGGTAAGCTTGCAGTTTCATGACCACACTGGATTTCTGGAGGTCACGGATGGCTGACTTAAACTTGGCAGTGACTCAATTGTCACCGCCATGTCTCTGCTGGAGCCCTACGGCGTGGACAAGTTAGCAGATGACCGGAGGCCAAGTTGGTGTTGCGGCGGAGGCTCCCGGCCAGGCAGATTGGCGTAGGTGGGCGAGTTTGCTCAAGCCGGGCCTTGGAAATTCGCCTTGAGGTCAGCCTTGGCATTGCAAGTGCGTTTGCCAAAAGGCCACGTAAACCAATCCTGGAACGCACGATGCCACAGTCGAAAGTGCTCCTGAAAGCAGATGCAACCGGAGCGCCGACCTCAAGGCATTCCTTTGTCTGGCGATCACAATCCTAGCTTGGCGCCTCCGGCACTGAAAGCCCATCATTCTCTTTCTTGAAAAACAGGGGCTTTCTGGCCCTGACGCCCCAGGTTCCGTCATTCTAAAGCACCCCTTTGTTTCACAAATGCAGGGCAACAAGCCTTCCCTGTGCACTTGAATCCCCTGACTCTCTTTTCTAGATCCCCCTGCTGTAAATTATCTCGGCAAGGCCCTTATAGTTTCGGCTTTAACTTGACGACAGGTGGCCCGGAAGCATAGAAAGAAGTCAAAAAAACCAGACACCTTTCCCGCCTGATGAGAAACAAACCGTAAACACGTCAATGCTCCTGCTCCAGCGAAGATGATGAGCAGGCTTAGCATCATGCTTCACAATCTCTCCTGTCAACTTCTCGCGCGCGGTGATACTGCACGCGAAGCTGCGCGTGATGTTGCGCGATATGTTGCGCATGATGTCGCATGACACAGCGCGCGGCGCAGCGCCTGGTGCTGCGCATGATGCTCTGCAACCTCTCTTGCCAAACCTTTCATGGCCTCTCTTGAAAAACTCTTGTCCATATCTGTGTGCAGCTTGGCTGCGCAAGAAGGCTGGCGGTTTTAGCTGCGGAGGTGTACTTCGCGCGCTACTTTTGCGCTTGCAAGTTGTGATTTTCGCGCTGCAAATACGGATGTGTAGTTCGGGCGCTGCTTTTCCATTCTAAAGTTGGAGCAGACATGGCGACTCCGAGATCGCTCAGCTCACACAGGGTCTGATCATGCAGCAGAGTCTACGGCCAACGCGGCCTTGCGAATTGACAGATTCAATCAGCGGCCCAAGCCCCTCTAGCTCGACTCAAACAGCTGGAGCTGGACGTTTTGCAGAAGCAAGCAAAGTGGTCAAGCAACCTGCAGTTTTTGAACCAGGCAGCCACGACCAAGGCAACGCCCAAGGCAGCACCCATGGCCAAGGCAGCACCCAAGGCGCGTGCCCAGCAGCACCCAAGGCAGCGCCCAAGGCAGCACCCAAGCCAGCTGCCATGCCCAAGGCCGCACCCAAGGCAGCGCCCATCCGAGGCACAGTTAGAGTCCGAGGTACAGCCCGAGCCCGAGGTACAGCCCGAGCCTGCGGCCCGAGCCCAAAGAAGCGCCTTGGCCGACCGAGCGCGCCATGCGCATGCTGGAGAGCGTAGAGCGAGATGATGTCCATAGAGCCCCGCAACGAGCCGCAGATGCTCCGGTGGTTCCGCAAGACATCCCAGTTCAGACCTGCAGCCGCTGCTGCTGAAGCGCCAGCGAGAACTGGAGGAGGCGCGGGCCTTCAACAGCTGGCAGGCTCCCAGGAGGGGCAGCGGCACCTGGACGATGTAAGCCGGCTGACGGAGGCAGTGCGCCGCCAGGCACCCCAGCTGCGCTACGCGCGCGCCGAGCGCCGGGGCGTTGAACGCGCAGCGGACGAAGTTGCCGCGCAGTAACGGACAAAAGAGATGAAGGGCCTTCGCCCGCGCTTCGAGCAGGTTGTAGGCTACCTTGAGCGGAATGAGCCGCTGCCCCTGAACCAGCCGGACCGAAAGACCCGTCGTTCATCACGATTGGACGACTTTGTGCGGACGACCTTGGAGACTCCGAGGCCGACGCGCTGACAAACAACGGTCAGGGCCCGCCCTCCATCACGGGCCGTTTGCGCAGCCGACGGGGCAGGCAGCAGCGGACCTCGGGACGCCCAGGACGTTGCCGAGTACGGCGCCTAAATGTGATGTCCCGCCCAGGGCCGCAGCCACAGCCACCTCCGCAGATCGACCCGCAGCCCTGCACAGCGGGCGAGGTTGCTGGAACGCTGGCTGCCACGGCAGGAGTCGGCGCAGCGGCAACGGCAGGGTTGGCCGGGGCTCGCAGCCACCTAGGGTCGTTATGTTGCAGCCACACGCCTGCGCGCAGCGTTTTAGGTTTCGAATTCTTTGCAGGACGAGGTCGTTTCCTGGACGGACGAGTGCCAGGAGAGTGGAAAACCCCCTCTAAAGAGAGAGATAGGACATATATGATTAGGTTTTATGGACACTTAAGATCCCATGTACACACCACACGTTTTGCATGACTTGTACAGTTTGAACTTACCAAACAGTTTGCCACATGAAACCATGTGATGAATGCATCCGCTAGGCGTTTGATTGCAGGAAAATAATCATGGTAGCGGAGCACTGACTCAAACGAGCAGTGACTTAGGAACCGACTTCTTCGAGCTAGAGATGCGAGAGCGCCCTTTCCGAACAATACTTTCGCGCTTGAAAGTTGTGATTTCCGAGCTTGCCTCGCGCGCCACCTTTGCACGTAGCCGCTTACGATTTTGCAGCCAGCTGCGGGAATGCACTTTGCACCCCAAGTGAATTTAAAAAGCTGCGGGCCTCCTTTGACGCTGCAACTTTGCAGCCGGAGCTCTGGGAGTGTGCTTCGCGTACGACTTTTTTTGTGCTTAAAACTTGCCAATTTCGAGCTGGAGCTGCGGGAGTGCGCCTCCTGCGCTACTTTTGTATACTTAATTAAAACTGCGAGCAATGTACTCCGCGAACTCCTCTTTGTTAAGTTGCGAATTCCGTGCCGGAGCTGCAGGAGCGCACTTCGTGCACCACTTCTGCGCTTACAAGTTTGGGACTGCGCAGTCGGAGCTGAGGGAGTCCTCTTTGTGTAGACTACTCTGGCGCGCCTTGCGTGCTAGCTTTGTACGCAACGTTGCGATTGCGCAAGCGGAGCTGCCGGAGAGCGCGTCGCACATCGCACGGCGTCGCAGCGAGAGCGCTTCGACGCGCGCAATCTCCGCAGACGGATCGCCGAGCTCAAGACGCATTCGCGCGGCACCACAGCAAGGGCTTCGACACGCACGATCTCCGCAGAGGGTTCGCCGAGCTGCAGACACATTCAGACGGCGCCACATAATGAGCCGACCTCAGCGCCCAGATCCCCCATCGAACCTGCTCTTCAACTGCGTGATCCGGATCTGGTTGTTCAGTTTGACGCCTGTCTCGTTGAGTTCACGCCGCAACGTTCCAATCTTAACCTTGGGCAACATGTTGTCCGACTTTGCACAGGGAAAGCGCACAGGATGCGCACGAGGTTGCTGTTCACATCACACATACCATCCGCAGAGGGCTCGCCGAGCTCAAGACACATTTGCACCGCGCGACAGCGAGAGCGCCTTGACACACGCGATCTCCGCAGCCGGTTTGCCAAGCTCAGGACACATTCGCGCGGCGCCACAGTCAGGGCGCTTCGACACGCACAATCTCCGAAGAGTGTTCGCCGAGGTCAACAAGAGTTCGCAAGGCGCCACAGCGAGAGCGCTTCGACATGCACGATCCTAGCAGCGGGTTCACTTTCGTCTTGCAACGCTTGCGAATGAGCGAACCCCTGCGCCTGCCACGAAAGTGACAGACCCGGTTGCTAAACATGCTGCGCTTGCCACGCAACCCATAGCATCAGTGCAAAACATACTGCGCGCCCCGAAAAACGCATGCCAGTGTCACAGAAGTCTGGCCATGGAATCCAGCCGTCGACGCACAAATCGAAGATGGGCGCGAGCCACTGCGACAGAAAGGTCCGTTTCATGCGAAGCTGTCGCACGCAATGCAACTTTTCCGACAACTGCCATGGTGTTAGAGGTCCGGTTGTCCAAGCATCGTAGCCTGACGCGACAAAAGACATCCACCGCGTAGCGGCCCTGCCTTCAAAAACGCACTTTGATCTCAAAAAAAGCGCGGTTGGCGTGAGGCTGCCTCCAAAAACAAAGGTCGTCGCGACCTCCGCACAGATGCGCTTCCTTACAAATTGCCAAACAGCCGAGGTTTCCTTATAAACGTAGCGCGAACCTTTACTGCGTCGCCCTTGCCAGCAAAAGCCGAAACATGAGCGCGGCGCCACGGCGAGAGCGCGCGCGCGAACCCACATTTCGCGCGAGACTGTTGCATCGAAGACAACTTTTTACACACAGGGCCAACACTTTGAGCGCGCACACTCTCGGTGAGAACCTCTTAGTGTAAACACTATGTGGGAAATGAGAGTAAAAAGCAGGGACTTTGGACTCGACACATTGCCCCCAACCCCACATTCCATCAAACCAGAAAGCCAGATGTCATCCCCAGCCACCCTCCACACGGCCGTCCCCGCCGACGGTGTCACGCGCCAACCCCTCCCCTAAAAACAGTGAGCAGAGCGTTGCGTTTGCAAGGGGCCAGTCTCGTGGGGTGTTCCATCAAGTCAAAACGACGTGAATGTGTCTCCAACAAACGGGGAAATGAAACTGCGCAGCGTGTCTCATTTCATTTTCCTGCAACCCTCTCGGCGTCGCCTCGGAGTCGGCAGTGCGAGAAGTGCGGGCCCGGTAGGCGTGCTGCAGAAAACGCTGCACCCGCTGGCTCAAGTCCAGGGGGATGTCGTTCTGGTTCCTGAGCGTCTGGTGTTCTCTTTTTGTTTTTGCTCTATGGTTTTGTTCTATATTACTTTCAACACGCTGTTTGACTGTGCGAAATGCTGAACAGTGGCTTGTTTCAATCGCTCAACGTGATTCTACCTTTCACAGTGAATGTCCAGCGCGTAGGTGTGACATGTTTTTCGTGGCCACTCCTGGACATGCTGCGCTCGACGCACGGCGCAGGCCTCGTTTGGCATGCGCAAGCCGATTGATGAGAACATTGTCCATGTGTAAAGTTTGTCATCATGCCTTCTGATACGCCGGTGGATTGGCTTAGAGCGCTTCAGGGTGGATTTAGCGTGTGTTCGGGATTTTTGGGGTGTGTTTGGGACTGTTGGGTTTTGGATGGAAAGGAAGCTGCTGAGAAAGCCGAAGTCAAACAGCCTAAAGCCAGCCGAATACAAATAGCAAGCTGAACAACAAAGCCACTGGAAACGCTTCCCTATGTTTTTAACATGGCGAAAGAAATTCTGGACACGCAAAGGCTTTTGATGGGCTGTGATGGAACACTTCCAACGTTGTTCTGCACCTGCCCCTTGCCTCACCCGTCCTGCGTTTGCCTTAGCTTGGGCGATTTGAACACCACCTTAGGGTTGCCATGGTCTTTTTGGCGAGGCTATGCATAAAGGCATGCATCCACCACGGCCTCCAAAGCTGGTGGTGTACCTATGAGACTCACCGCGGCTTATGAAACTGTGGACAAGCAGCCAACTGACAAGCCGAAAACCATCCAAACTGCGGGACGCTTGCGATATGCTCAAAAGTGTTCCTTGCCTGGGTTCTTAAACACCCCATCGATCGCCGGGCTGCAGGAAGCGCCGCAGGTCTCGGAACAGCTGCTGCTCCTATCAAGGCGTCGGAACACTTTCTGCGTAAGCTGAAGCATCTTTTCGCTCGTGTTTTGCGCAAGGCAAGTGCGCCGGACCACCGTGCGGCTCTACTTTTTCGACCCGTTGCCCATACCCAAAAAGGACAGTGGAGATGAAACACCAGCTGAAAAAACTCGCCACGCAAGCCACGTCCTGATCCTGCGCTTTCTGCAAGTTGCTCATAAGAGAAGTGACTGTGCTGACCAGGGTGGAGAAGCTTATCAAACCAGTGAAGGCCACGCAGATGCCTTAGCGGTGAATGGAACATCTCGTACCTTGTTCCGTAAGAACCGGCACCCTGTGCTAATTCATATTGGATGGAGTTGATCTGGATGTCCTTGGCTACACTCTGGATTCCAATCCAATACAGGGTGGCCCAAGATAAACTGTGAAAGCTGCAAATTAGCAAGCGCCCAAGTAAGGGCTTCCCCTTTGCCACCCAGATTCCCACCAAGAACATCAAGCCGGCGGAGGCGGTGGTCGGAAGTTTCTATATAGAGCAAGGTTTCGTTTGGTTCGCGCGCCCGTTTTTCAGTTTGGCACAGTTAACGACACCTGCGGCAAGCCGCTGCTGCAAGAGCACATGCAGACAAGCGCTGCCTGCGACAGCAAACACCGTAGCAACACAGCTTTTACACACGCTATCTTTGTTCTTGGTGCACTTGGGCTTCCTGCGACGGCAGTCAACCATGCAGCGCGCCCGCCTGCATTCTGTTGGGTCGCCGCAAGCTCGGAAAGCTTCCTGACGCAGACAACACATCAGCGTCGCCGTCTCAGTGCGCCATGTCACCTCGTAACGTGTGTGCCAAGACTGCAGCCGCTACCAAGGATTTGCATGGTATTGCTTGCTGCTCGGACGCACTAAGCCACTTTGTGGCACAAGCCAGAGTCCAGCCAGAGCCCTTGAGCTTCTGAGTGTCATCCCATTTTTTTGGAGGATGTGCAGAAGCTCTCCCAAAAGCAAAGGGGCGCGCATTTTCATGGCAACGCCGCGATCTTTGTTGAACGCGGGACAGCGGCTACTTGGCAAAGCCGGCCAAGGCTTCGTCGCCGACGCGCTTGCACCGCGTGGCGTCCGCAATCGGGCAAGCCTGGTGCGAGAGCTGCTTAAAACAGCATTTGCGCTTGTCGTATTTGTAAGCTTGAAGTTAACGCGAGACACAGAGAGAGAGAGAGAGAGAGAGAGGGAGAGAGAGAGAGAGAGAGAGAGGGAGAGAGAGAGAGAGAGAGAGAGAGCTGTCTACTACCAGGGCACCCCTTGCAACATGCTGCTGTATGCCCAAGCTAGACATCGGAGCTAGCTCTCTCTCTCTCTCTCTCTCTCTCTCTCTCTCTCTCTCTCTCTCTCTCTCTGTCTCTCTGCCAAAAAGCTTACAGAAGACCGGGTGGCCTATGAAAAAAGTAGCGTGCGCAGATAGCTGGCGCACAGACAAATTGAGTAAAGAATGAACGCGTGCGAGAAAGCACGCGCGTGGGTGTGGCGGGGGAAGAGAAATCGCGAAAAAGAGCGACGCTGCGCATTTTGGTGGGTCCCCTGTCTCGACGCCAGTCTGGCACGGGTGCGACACGGGTCGGCGCGCACGCAAGGTCAGGTACAGATTTCGTTCGCCATGCGCAGAGAGACAGGCAGAATCTCGATGGACAGATGGATAGATAGAGGACTTAAATAGTACATGAGATAAATGGAAGATAGACAGACGAGTAGGTAGGAAGGGGTGGGTGGGTGGCGGGTAGGAAAGTTTAGATAGTTTGCCGCTGTGAGTTACGCGTGGCCAAAGCTTTCTTCAGTTTACTTTGCCGTTGATGCTGTCGAGTCTTTGCGGTTTGTTTGAGGCTTGAGCAGGTTACACACTCACACACGGTCCTTTGCAGCAACACACATTTGCAGCAGCAGCCGCTCTGGATTTGGATCTGAGGCTTCCATTGTGCCTCAAAGTCACTGCAGGCTAGAAAAAGACTTGTGCGCGCGCGACAAGTTCGTCGGAAGCAAAGAGATGTTGCAACCGGACGTGTCAATCAGTGTTCATTTTGAAGAGCTGCGCTGCGCAAGTAGCCCTGGTTGCACGCGCGCGCGCGTGCTTTTGGCGGCGAAGCTGATAAATAGATAGAGACGGATAAATGATGAAACGGATAGAAAGACGGATAGAGGTACAGATAAACATAAGAGAGTGAACGTGCCATCTTTTCAAGTCGGACGGACTTCGGCCTAAGCGATCGCAGTCCAGACAGCAAAGCCTTCTTCGGTTTGAGCAGCTTCCAAACTTTTGTTGACCTGGCGAACAGGTCATAGTTGGGCCAGCAGCCCACGGCCGCTCCAAAGTGTCTGTCGAAGCCTTTTGCGTAGTTTGTTGTCACAATACAATCTGCGACCATTTGACGGTTACCAGCATTGTTTGCGCAGTGGCCAGACTCTGGATGCGAGTGTTTGCTCGCAAGAAATTCAAAATACTGAGCACGCGTTTGCTGATGTTACACATGACCAACCGAACACCCAAGGCCTGCCAGACCTGACTCGGAAACACTAAACCTATCTACCTGCGCAAGGTACCTTTGAATTAGTTTCCGTGCTGCGCAAGCTTCTTCTAAACTTCTTTTGACTAAAGTAAGGGGCCAACAACGTTTGACCAAAGCCAACCCCCTGCGTTTCGCTTTCATACCATTGATCCTCACGCAACCTATGTCTCACCCCATTTGCGTGTTGGCTCAAGGCAAGACCACAGGATCTGTTGCCCCCCGTTTCAGGTTCGGCGCACCGCAAAACACTCCCTTCTTTCAACAAAGCTCATTCATAGCCTCTATGGGAATCTGGCCGAACCAATGGAGAACCTCATTTTTACGAGTGCGTTCCGGGCTCACTTTTGCCAGAGTCAGCTAAGGTCAACTCGACCTTGCGTCTCATGTGTCACACGCCGTCTGCAGCCAGCGCAATATCGACGTCCTCGGGCAAGGCGCTGCACCGATGCTTCTGGTCAAGCAGGAACTTGTACATGACCGTGGGTCCAAGTCTCTGCTTCAAAGGCGAGTGCCACACCGATTTCTCAGGCAGCTTGCAGATGACACGCAACGAGGTTGCAGCTCAAGCGATTGCAGGCAACACTGGATTAGTGCACTAGAGTTACCGGGGGAACAATGAAGTCGTTGGAAACACATGAACCTGCTCACTTAGCCGGCCGCCCAGAGGCGTGCAGAGCATCTAGCAGCTTCGCTCGAAAACAGGCGTGCGTTCCTTAAATCAATCAAACCAATTCGAGCTGGCTCAAGCAAACTAACCGAACCTAGTTCAAGCCGATTTGAGATGGCTCAAACTAGATCAAACGAACCGAATCTAGTTCAAACCAATTCGAGCTGGCTCAAACTACATCAAACTAGATCAAACTAAGCGAAGGTTCAGTTCAAGCTGGCTCAAACTAGATCGAGGTGATTCAAACTAGATCAAACTAGATCAAGCTAACCGAACCCAGTTCAAACCAATTCGAGCTGGCTCAAACTAGATCCAACTAGACCAAACTAGATCGAACTAACCGAACCTAGTTCAAACCAATTCGATCTGGCTCAAGCAAATTCGAGTTGGCTCAAACGAGATCAAACTAAATCGAACTAATCGAACCTAGTTTCAAGGCACTTCGAGCTGGCTCAAACTACATCAAACTGGATCAATCTAACCGAACTCAGTTCAACCCGATTCGAGCTGATTCAATCTCAAACTAACCGAAAGTTGAAGCCAATTCGAGCTCGCTCAAACTAGACCAAACTAACCGAACCTAGTTCCAACCAATTCGAGCCGCCTCAGGATCAATCTAGATCAAACCAAATCAAACCAACCAAACGCAGTTCAAACCAATTCGAGCATGCTCAAACTAGATCAAACTTACCGCAGCTGGCTCAAACTAGATCAAGTTAACCAAACGCAGTTCAAACCAATTGAAGCTGGCTCAAACTAAAGGCTCGAGGTTTAATTTGGGATTTTGTGTTTTATTTTGCGAGTTTTGTTTGTTTTCCGTCTTGGCTAATAAAATTCTGCATTTTACAGCATTTTCTCACGACTCACGACCGTCAACATCATCAGCATCGTTTTCAACTTCCCCCGCATGTCCAGCCAACATCCCCAGCATCACCAGCAAGTTCCCCCCGTGAGATAACAAGAAGTGGGGGCGGGTCGTGTCACACCCGCATCCTTAGCATCACCAGCAGGTTGTGGCTCAGGGCAGGCTTCAGGCAGGCATGTGTGGTCCAAGATCGAAGGAGATATTGGGCAAACTTGGGCTAGCTGCGGATGAGGCTTTTTTTTTGAGCTCGGGATTCTTTTGCCTCATCTGGCTAAGCATCTTTCAGGCATTATGGAGCGACGCCTCTGGTGCTACCGTGTGCCAAGAGAGCCCCCCCGCGTGATGACTGGGGAGTAATGATTGAATTAGGGGCAACAAATCTATGATGATCGGGGGAGTGATGATTCAACTGGAGGCAAAAAAATCTAAAAAGTAGTGGGGGGGTTGGGGGCCCCCATGATGATCGGCGGAGTGATGATTGAATTAGGGGCAAAACATCTAGAAAGTAGCGGGAGGGCGGCAGCCCCCCCCAGGATGATCGAAAAGAGAGAAGCAAGGGGAAACAAAACATAATTAACAAAAAGTAGCGGGCAGGTTGGGGGGGTGCAGCCCTCCATGATGATCAAAAAGTGATGAATTAGGGGCGCATTTTAATCGAAAGGGGGTGGCGAGGGGCACCAGAGAGGAACTGGGAAAGCAGAGGATGCGAAAAGCCAAAGCCGTATAAACCCATCCTGTAAACAAACACTCCTGATTAAATGGCCGTCCTAAACTAGATCAAAACAGATCAATCTAAGCGAACCTAGCTCAAACCAATTTGAGCTGGCTCAAACTAGATCAAACTAGATCAAACTAACCGAACCCAGTTCGAGCTGCACCCCAAACTAGCTCAAACTAGATCAAACAAACCAAACGCAGTTCAAACCAATTGCAGCTGCCTCAAACTACGTCAAACTGGATCAAACTACGCGAACCCAGTTCAAACCAGTTGAAGCTGGACCAAACTAGATCAGACTACATCAAACAAACCAAACGCAGTTCAAACCAATTGAAGCTGGCTCAAACTAGATCAAACTAGATCAAACAAACCAAACCCAGTTCAAACCAATTGGAGCTGGCTCAAACTAGATCAAACTAGGTCAAACAAACCGGCTCTAATTGAAACGAATTGGAGCTGGCTCAAACTAGATCCAACTAGATCAAACAAACCGAACCTAGTTGAAACGAGTTGGAGCTGGCTCAAACTAGATCAACCTAGATCAACCTAAGCGAACCCAGTTCAAACCAATTGGAGATGGCTCAAACTAGATCAAGCAAACCAAACGCAGGTCAAACCAATTGGAGCTGCCTCAAACTAGATCAAACAAACCAAACGCAGCCTCAATCCAATTGGAGCTGGCCCAAAGTAGATCAAACTAGATCAAACAAACCAATCGCATCTTAAATCCAATTGGAGCTGGCTCAAACTAGGTTCAAACCAATTGGAGCTGGCTCAAACTAGATCAAACAAACCAAACGCAGCCTCAATCCAATTGGAGCTGGCCCAAAGTAGATCAAACTAGATCAAACAAACCAATCGCATCTTAAATCCAATTGGAGCTGGCTCAAACTAGGTTCAAACCAATTGGAGCTGGCTCAAACTAGATCAAACAAACCAAACGCAGCTTCAATCCATTTGGAGCTGGCTCAAGCTAGATCAAACTAGATCAAACAGACCAAGCGCAGTTCAATCCAATTGGAGCTGGCTCAAACTAGATCAAACTAGATCAAACAATCCAAACGCAGTTGAAACCTATTGGAGCTGCCTCAAACTAGATCAAACAAACCAAACGCGGTTCAAACCAATTGGAGCTGGATCAAACTAGATCAAACTAGATCAAACAATCCAAACGCAGTTCAAACCAATTCAAGGCACAAAAGAGCCTTTCCACGGTGGTGGTGGCCTCGATCTCCACAGAGCCCATACCCAATTGAGCAAAGGCCCAGTGTAGGCAGGTGGTGTACTGGTAGAGGAAGGTCCTGTCCTCCAAGGCAGTACACTCTGCTTCTTGGCTACAAACTGTCCTCGTGTCAGCCGTGCAATAATTAGCAGCCCTTGGTACAAAAGAACGCAGTGTTTCGGCCTCTGGTAGCGGTCCAGCAACCTACACGAAGCTGGGAAATATCTGGCGGCCGTTGCGCGCAAGGGGTGGCAGAGCAACAGCGCCAGCAGAAACAGCGAGAAGCAGCGCACAAGTGCTTAACACCACCGGGTTTCAATGGAAAACACACTACGTTTGAAGAATGGGAGTGCAAAATGACAATACATCTGGGGGCGCTAGACTAATTTTGTTGCGGCCGTTTGTTTGGCCGGTGGCCGGTGGCCGGTGGCCGGTGGCCGGTGGCCGGTGGCCAGTGGCCCGGTGACCGGTGGCCAGTGGCGCCGTGTTGCTTGACGAGCTACTTGCAAACGAGTGTCATAACCCACAACCCCTCACCACACGCCACCCGCCACTTTCACAAGTCCTGATAAATATCTGGCAGATCCATTTGTTCATGTGGTAGCCCACACGGTTAAGGGGGCTGAACTGGCCGTTCACGGTCTCAGCTACGTCGGATGGGAATTCTCCAAGAATCATTTTGTTCGCTGGCAAAGATGGAAGACAATGTTGGCTGCAGAACTCCACACGCGAATCGGTCCACAATAAGTCCGTTCGGGCTGAGCTGCAGTCTCGGAAGATCCCTTTAGTCCAGGCACTTCAGCTTGAGATGGCAGCCGTCGTCGTGGGACCACAGTCGGCAAGTTTGGCAAAGGGTGAGCTCGCGCAAATCAGCAACCAGTCCTGCGTCAAACACTAACAGGGCGGTGTGTGTCTTTCCCAAGGAAAAAGACCCTTCAGACACGCCTGCGCAAAATGTTCTTGTCGGCGCAAGGCGCGAAATACTTCGACAAGATGACATTTGCAGATTGCACAGGCCGACTTGCGGAATGCCGTCGGCCGAAGCGCTCGAGTCGTTCCACCTCAGCAAGTTTATGCTGCGTGTGTGCAGCTGCAAACCACACGCAAGCGATAAGAAGCGACCGACCGGACCGCCCACGGCTATAAGTTGACGCTTGCCACAAGCTGCCGCTGCCAAGTTCCCTTGATCAGTAGTCAGTAGTAGGAAAGCCCGGCCCTGAAGTTCTTATTGGCCTCAGGTTAGGCAAGACCACAGACAAACCATCGGGCCTGTGAAACATCAAACTTGGAAGGATGCTCGGTGACGGAAATTTTGTGGCGGCAGTGGCGCGCCCAAGCCAAAGCTGCGCCCCAACTCTTGCTAAGCATGCACATGTAAGACCGTGCTGCCCTTCCCTGATTGTGTGGCAATCGAGCTTTTCGTTCGCCACCTTCCCATTTAACCTCAAAGTTAGTGGGCCTGCGCAAGCCCAAGCCGGCCGCCCAAACCATGACCCTTTGCGTCTTGCATTGGTTTTTATCACGCAACCGCGTGTGAGCCACCTTGCCGTCTGCCACTTAAGATGGCGGCCGGCAGGCTTGTCAATGGAAGCCACGTGAACTCTGGCAAACCTGGGTCAGCAGCTAACACGCATCAGAAATCGTTCGCGGTTGGCAGCAGGCTGTTTTTGCAAGCCACGCTCCATGAGGGCAATCCTGGAAGGGTGAGCGTTGCCTGTGACGGATGAACTGACATATAGAGAAGCACTGCCCTCCAAGGATGTGGACGTCCTGGTGGCACGCTACTTGCGTTGAGCGTGCCCGCGCTGCGTCCTTTGTGTGAGGGACATTGGCTCCAGCCACTCAAAGGACCGGGCCGTACTCTGTTTGCGGGTAGTCGGTGCTGCACCTAGAGGAAGACATGGTAATGCTCTGCACGTTGATCGACTGCGCAGAAATCGGAATCTTCGCCTTTCCATCGGAACCTTCGCCTCTCCATCGACACCAGCTTGGAGGCTAGCGCCGAACTCTTGTGCCATGCTCAGCAGGCAGCAGTCCGCCTCTTCCTCAGTTATGTTGACATCATTGTGGTCGCGTAGGGCCTTGGCAAGTAGAAGCACTGATCGGCAGCAAGTTGTCGTGCATGGTTGTGGGCTGATGCTCCGGAGAAAGATTATCCTGGATCACTGCGAATGCCTCGGACATAAGCGCCGAAGCGTCGTGGTCAGAGAGCTCATCGGGGGACGCAGGATGCTGTCTGTGTGTGCGCGTGTGTTCGCCGTGGGCGGCGCGCGTGCAATCTCACACGGTAAGCTCTTCTCTTGCCTCAGCACGCACGTCTTGCGGTCTGAGTAAAGCACAAGTCTTCAAGTTAGCGGTCTTGCGCTTTAGCGGAGCATCCCCTGAAAGCTCATGGCTTGCTGGCTTGGCCTGAACAACCGGCCGGTGGCCGGCGGCGGGTGGCCGGTGGCCAGTGGCAGCCGGTGGCTGGCGGCAGGCGGACAAATTGTACCACCCAAACAGATCGTAAGAACACAATGATGCGCTACGCAGGCCAAGCCAAAAACAAATGTGTGTCTTCTTCCGGGACCGCCCAACATTTTTTCTCTTGGAACACTCTTTCGCGGCGACAGTGAACACGCTTGTGCGCCAATAGAGAACACCTTGTGCGCCGACACTAGCAACGATGAACACTCCTGTGCGCCAACACTGGATACGATGATGCGCTGACAAGGAACGCTTTTGCGTGCCGAAAGTGAACACGCTTGCGCACCAACAAGGAGCACTCTTGTGGGGCGCTAAACAAAAATAACAAAAGCTCTGTGCGCACTTCTTGGCGCGGCAGCATTTCGACAGCATCTATCCGGGAAAAGGCGCAGGCCATGAAATCGGTTGCTCCCCGGCATGCGTTGGGACACTAAGCAAAAAAGCGCGCTAGCTCAGCGTCTACAACGTTCGTTCGGTGAATCCTCAAGGGCTCGTGTCCCTGCAAGAGACCGTTGCTGGGCTGGTCACATGAAGAAGAACTGGCATCCGTCTCATACCTCTGCTCGCAGCACCGACAAACACGAAGCACCTTGGGCGCCGCAAACTCATTCCTGGCCGGCATGCTGCGCGCGTGCCAGAAAAGAACACTTTTGTGCACTGAGAGCGCACACTTTTATTCGCGAATGAACACGCTTGCTCGTCACCCCCGAACAGTGTGTGCGCCAACAACGAACACCTGTGCGCCGACTGTGAACGTGCTTCTGCGCCCACAATGAACACTTCTGTGCGCCGACGCTGGACACGATGATGCGCCAACAAGGCGCGCTCTTGTGCGGCGGCACCAAACACACTTCTGCGCTCACAACGGGCACTGTTGTGCGCCGACAGTGGACACGCTTTTGCGCCAACAATGAACACTTTTCTGCGCTGACGGTGAACACGCTGCGCCAACGAGAAACACTCTTGTGCGCCGACGGTGGGCACGCCTGTGCGCCAACGAGGAACACTCTTGCGTGCCGAGAATGAGCATGCTTGTGCGCCAACAAAGAACACTTTTCTGCGCCGACAATGGCCACACTTACGCGAAACAAAGAACACTTTGGCGGATGCGCACGAGCATGGCGACGGCGGTCTGGCAGCACTGGGAGACAATTGAAGTCACGTGGCAAATGAAGGCACGTGCTGGGAGAAGCAAGCAAACACTGGCAAGCGTGTGGCCTGGCGATCTGGCAGCACTGGGAGATATATGAAGGCGCGTGCTGGGAGACAGGTAAATGCGCACTGGGCGAGAAATGAAGGCACATGCTGCAAGACAAGCAGATGTGCGTGGCCAGCATGTGGCCCGGCGATTTGGCAGCACTGGGAGACAGACAAGTACATGCGTGTACTAACGAGCATGCGGCCCGGCGATCTGGCAGTACTGGGAGACAGACAAGTAAATGCGCGTACTAACGAGCATGCGGGTCTGGCAGTACTGGGAGAGAAATGAAGGCACATACTGAAAGAAAAGTGAATGCGCACACTGGGGGGGAAGTGAAGGCACATGCTAGGAGACAGGTAAATGCGCACACCGGGAGGGATATGAAGGCTAATCCTGGGAGACAAGTCAATGCGCACACTGGCGAGCATGCGGCCCGTCAATCTGGCAGCGCTGGGAGACAACTGAAGGCGCATACTGGGACAAGTAAATGCGCACACTGGCGAATGCGGCCCGGCGATGGGAGACAAACGAAGGCACATATACTGGGAGACAAGTAAATGCGCACACTGGTGAGTATGTGGCCCAGCGATCCGGCAGCACTGGGAGACAAATGAAGGCACATACAGGGCGACAACACATGAGGCACACTGGCGAGCATGCGCCCCGGCGATCTGGAGAAGGCTGAGAACCCCAACAGTAAACATTGGGGTATAAAGGCTATTGTGACAGCTTGGCACGCGTCGACACGCAGACAGAACGCGCAAGGCAGCGGATTCGAGACATGGGAACTACACCTTAAGGTGTAGTTGGTGCAAGAAGCATGGGGTACCTTACATGAAAACAGTTTTGAGGAAAGCTTGAACATGGGACTGACCTCTTCGCGGTTTTCTGCGCAGTGAAAAACATCAGTTGCGGTAGTACTATGCACACGCTTGTTTCACTACATTTTGCCAGGACGCTAAAAGGAAGTGAAGTTGAAATCCCGGGAATGGAAGGCAAGGACTGCAAGAAAGAACGGGAACGGCAAGGTGCCCGGTGGCCGGCTGTGTCACGTATTGCATTATTGGAGCAGCATGCCCATTCAGGAATGCAGGTGAACGGGGCTGGTACATTTGCCTTACAGCAGAGGAGTACAGGAGTACAGCTGCACGAAATCTTCGACTGGACACATCACGCACTTACATGTGGTGTTGGGAACCGTTCATCAGCACAAGACTACATCACGTGTTGGTTGTCCCCCCCTTCAAAACCACCCTTAAAGGGCAAAGAAGGCGCCGTGCGTGAGGTACTCTTGTTTGTGCTCGGGCTTCGGAGACCTTCTGTTGCCGGCTACAGGGCATGTAATTACATTGCTCCAGTGACATTTGACGGCGACCGCGCGGCGGACACAAAATGACGCAGACCTATGAGACGTACATCTCAGCTGTCATCACTTTTCGCAAAGAGTCATCCCTGTCAACATGGACCAAGCGCAGGCCCCAAAACACACCAGTGGTTTGCGCACGCGGCTCTGACACTGAGGGACACCGTGGTACAACTAGATACAGATCTGCTCCTGATACAGGTTGGCATCGCTCCGCCAGTTTCCAAGCCATTCAGACAGCAAAAGCGGGAGTTGATTTGAAGTGTGACCTTTGCAAGGGTGACAGTTGGACTGGTGGGAAGTGTGTGAGGGCGTGTCATTTCTCCTTGGAGAGCTTTCGATTCAGGTAGGAGATGGGAATCTTAAGTCCAACCAAACTAAGCTGGTGTGAATTGTTTCCTCGGCCTAAACAAACAGGCACACAGCAAAAAGGAAATACCAAAAAACGTTCGCGCTTGGGCAACTAAACGGATTTCCAACATGTCTCAAAAGTCTTCAGAGGATCACCTCGTGATAGGTCGCTTGTTAACCTGGGTGTGGGAAATGGCCCGGGCGTGCCTCTTGCCAAAGCTGTTCTTGGTTGATCCACATTTGGGTTTCACGGGCACTGGCCCAGGGTCCTTGCGCCCCGTCTGGGATGAGGGGGTGCAAAGTTTCTCCGTGAAAACTCATTTTACCGTCGCCCAAAACGTGACGGTTACAACACCCAAAAGCGGGGAGAGAAACATGAATTTCCCGTCCTTGATGGACTGTTCTTTGATCCAGCTTGCATTCTCCTCCTCCTGCGCCCACACGCCCACGCCGAACCAGCCGCACGCAATGATATGCTGCAATAGGCTCATACGCAGGATCACCTCAGCTTCGATCGTGCCGCAGCATGCCTGCTGAATAATTTGTTACGGCGAACCTGTCATAGCAAAACATGCGTTTGTGTGAAGCACCAAGGGAGGACATTCTGTCGTACGGACACAAGTTGCAAGCTAGCTTTCTGACAGAAGACAAGAGAAGAATGAGCACGCACGAGAAAATGCGTAAGCCTGTGGCAAGGGAAATGCGCCTTTCGAAGCGTCCAGTGCAGATTTCGCATCGCTTGACGGCGCAGCACTTTGGCAAGGTCAGCTGCAAATTCCTTGGCAGGCGCGGCACTTTCGTACAGAGTTCGTGGCAGGTGTAGCACTTTCGCAGGGTCAGGCGCAGATTTCGCGCCAAGCG